GTAAATTAGTTGATAAGTTGTATTTGTGCAGAAAGAATGGGCTAATTAAACTATTTCTCCAGTACACAGACACTGTGTGTGTTGACCTAGCAATTAACATTTGCTCTCCAGGGAAACGTACAGCACTGGAGACACTGTTGAACTTACCTAACAAAAGGGAGGTAAAAATGGATGTTCGATTTTCTAAACACAACAATGGAAATAAAAAGGTGAGACAATTCTTTTAGAGTTGTTTCCACTTTGGTTTTAGCAGGCCATTTTCTTCAAATCCAAATTTCAAAAAACTTGTGCTCAGTAATTAACCAAGCAGACCATAAGGAAGAAAAGATTGCAGAGTGTGCCACAGAAGGCTTGGAGTGCTGCACTGGCACTGCCAGCAGCTCTGCCAGACAACAAGAAGGTAAGTGAGAGGTGAGAGAGTGTGTGGAAAATCAAGTTCTGTTCTCTCATACGGCAGCACATGCTGCCATCAGCAGGTAGTCTGGCCAGTTCCAAAACTAATGTAATGGGTGAGAGGGGAGGAGAAGGTAGAGGAGGGGCAGGGAAGGGTAGAGGGAGGGGGTGTGGTCTAATCCTGAACCGATGGAGTGTTTATAAACCAATTTCCACTTTCAAAGTATCAGAAAAATGTATGTAACTCTCTTAAAGCTGTCCGTAAAAGAATATCAAATCCCTAATGAATGTCTTCCCTTTTCCCCCTGACAGACTTCAACTCTCACTAATGGAACTGAACAAATAGATCTAGCACAAGCAATATTTAGCACATAAGATATAAATCTTATTCAAAATATATCTTCTACATTAAACAGTGAATATTGTTAAATTCGTGACCTCAAGAATTCTCCTGAAGTTGGTGCCCATCTTTACCTAATGACCAGTTTTTTTCACTCTGACAGTAAGTCCTAATCTTTCTCCTCAATTCCAATGTTAACCAGCTTCTACCTACCCCTTTCCCTGCTGCTGTCTTGCAAAACTAAGCAAAATCTTAAATTCTCTGCCTGCTTCTACTCACAGGCCCAGTCGTTAGACTGCTAAGCCAGGAAGAATCGGCACGGAATAAAGAAATGCTTCAAAGTATGTACCCTGTGCTTCTTATTCTAAACAAATGGTGGGCTATAAAAGGCAGATGGCTAAAGAAAGATGATCCTGAGCCACCGGGGACAGCGCCTTAGGCAACCACAAACGTCTCTTCCCCATCATGCTGAAGACTTCCAAAGCAAGAAGTCACTCATCCCTTTACATACGTCACTCATCCCTTCGCATATATCGCTACACCTTCGGAGCATTACAAAGGACAGAAGTACTACACCGCTGACTGAAAACTAATGAACAGGAGACAAATACTGAATAGGCTTTCTTGGACTCAGGCTTCACCAAACAACTGAACATACTATTTTACGCTATGAGAAAAATCAATTAAAGTCACATACTGCTTTTTGCTTTGCCAGACCATGCGACATTAAAGGTCATGATGGGTGCAGGCAACAGCAGCTGAACCAGAACAGAACACTAGCGCTGTGCAGGCAGCTTAACAGGCATTGCCAGCGGTGCCGCTGCTGACGTGCACACTCGCAGTGCTTTCACAGACCTCCTTTAACGTCCTATCGCTTCAGAGAACACAGAATGGCTTGTCTCTGCACCTGTGTAGAGAAGGCTAATTCCACCCCTTAAATACACTAGATGAGACACGCTAAAATAGGAATGAGCGTGAGTTAAAACATTTCATAATAATAAAACCAAAAATTCCCTAAGCATTTAACATAACCCATAAATGTGTATTAAAATTCATACAAGCAGAACGGCTTTATTCCCAGTAAGATGATATTCTTAAAAGGAAAAAATGGGTATGAATGTTACTAAATGAACTAAATCAATGTTACTTGCTGAAATCAAATCACTGCAGCGTTTGCCAAGAACATCATGACAAAGTCACAGCCACCAAATGCTGTTACACTGCTCTGGGGCTGAATGTCCAGTAATGTCTTGATCGTGTTTGTTTTAAACTTCTGATATTAAATCTTTATGTTAGACTGTTCTTTGGGACCAATCAATCCTGGCAAAAGCAGGTAAAAGGAAGTTATGTGTTTCATCCTCTGTAAAAAAGAAATGGGTTTCTAAAAGCAAACCGACCAACCCTTCAAAAAACCAAACAGTTCCAATTTAGTAAAATTAAAACCTCAGGTTTTATTTTGTCAATTAGATATTTTCTGCCAATATGCTTTCTATCAGCAGTCACTTAGTATTAAATTCTGCTGTTTCTCTTTACATAGACTTTTTTTTTTAAATATTTACTTATAGCTAGTCAGGAAACTATGACTTTTAGGTCATGAAATTTCAAACCAATTATGTAACAGAAAAAAATCTCCAACAGGTAAGAACCAAACACGACCCAAGGAGTTGACTACTTGCTTGTAAACATTAAGAAAAAAGTTAGGTTTTTTAAAACAAAGCTTTTGTTTGGTTCAAAGGACATTATTTTCTGATGATGTTATTTGCAAACAGAAGATCTTTCTGACAGTGAATAAACTCACCCATCAGCATTCTTCTCCCTTAGCAAAGCAGCAGTTTCTATTAGCTTTTTCCTTCTCTCCCACTGTTTTCTTTGCTTTTCCCGAACCTTTGAACAAGAAAACAAATAGTTTGCACTTCAAATGGTAATCATACATTGGCTCACTAACTGAATCTTCATGTTTTGCATCTCAGATGGCCTAAAGTAAAGCAAAAGACAACTTCCAGAGTTCCACTGTGACATCTGAATAAGCTGTACTTCAGCTTGTCTGGTTCAGAGGGCAGAATTTTAAATATCTAGACACTGTAAAACTTTAATAACCACAATAAATATTCTCACATTTTCTTTCTCTTTGTTCTCTTTGAATTCTACATCTTCGGCGTTAACAGTCATTTTTTCCTGCTCTTCAGTTTGGTTGATCTCCATAGCTGCGTCAGTAGGAGACTCCTCTTCCGTCTCCTGTAGGCAAGGCTGCCTCTCATCAGCCAGCCCATTGCTCTCTTCTTCCACTAATGCGTTCTCTTCAGGTGCCGAAGGCAGAGTCTCTGTAGGAAGTGTCCCAAGGAGGAGACTATCCATTTTGCTGAGAGGAAATTCATGAAGATTGTCAAAAAAAGGTTTTGGAAATCCAAAACAACTGGTAGCAGCTCTAACAGGTCCAGCTCCTGGATACATCTGGATAATGGTTCCATAGCCTGTGAAAGCAAAAGAATCAAAACCACACTGGGAAGCCAGGATTTCTGGGACCAACGAAGCACGCGTTTGGGAGTGGGTAAGTAAATTGCCTGCTCTTACATCCAACCTTCATCAATAAAAGGTTGTTGAAGTATGCCTCGAGGTGGCACGTCTCTATGGGAAGAACACCACTTACTAAAACTCAGGAGGTCACTTAAACATTAGGCACATATTAGACATATATTTAGGATTAGCACAGAACATACACGCAGTGACAAACTGTTAGGTCACCTAATTAAGAACTAAACCCACAAATTTTTAGAGTATTTGTCACTTATAATTATGGAGTGGTTTTTATACAAAATGAAAGCTAATTTAAACAGCATTAACAGGCAAATGATTTCTTCAACAAACTGCCCCTCTAAAGGAAGAGAGGACAGATGTTTAAACATTCTGAAAAGAACTTTACAATGGTTGTTTTGAAATTCCACCTTATTTAATTTACTTCAGAAAGTATGTATCCTTATGGCCAAGGGCTGCTGAAATAACACCCACTCATCGTGGAACTGCCTGAGTGCTTCCCAGCCGACAGACAGCACATCCGGGTGCACAAGAGTCCATCGCAATTCCTACCTTTCCAAGCTTCTGGCACATAATTGTTACCTCTGTCCACTGTCTCTGAATTACTTAGAATGAACCTAATTCACTGAGCTTGAGAAATAAAAGCCAAGTCGAACTACTCCTATAATATGCTCGAGAAAGCGTCATATACTGCTTTTAAAAACAGACATTTTGCTCATGTTAAATCTCTGACACAAGAGGGACAACATCATCTTCACTGCTTCGGGCTCTCCGAGTTCCACTGTTAACTATTCCTGTTTTCTGCCATTCACTTTCCTGGACCTCCCAGGTGGGTGGGAAGAAATCTCCACCTGACCTCCTTACAGCTTTTTCTGAACAAAAAGTCATTGTGCAAAGAGAGAAGCTAAAACAGAGCAGCATACAGAGGTAACTTTAAATTTCGTATTTTAAAAACTAGTGCAAAATAAAGACAACTGAAATATGCAAAATACAACTTCCTCCAATGGAAATAGAAGTCTGACTACTGAAGACAGTAAAAGTAGATTTTAAAATGGAGAATGAATTTTGAAGTACGGCCCTTTAAAAGTATCACAGAGGTGTGTGTTAATCTTAAGTTTCAAGAAAGCCCTCAGCCTGTACCCTAATAAAGCTACGGCGTCACTTACCTCCCATTCGTTCCATCACCGCGCCCAGCACCAGACCTGCACAGGTCTCCATTACGATCATCTTGTTGCCAGCACGGACGTTTCCTAAAGTCAGCATCTGAGCTAGGGTGTCATATCGCAAGTGGCTAGAAGGCAGAGGGTTTTAAGAAATACCAGTAAGTTTTCTTACATTTAGAAATACTGCAAAGTAGTTCAGGAGCCTGTCAAAAAAAGTTGGATTATAGATTGATTTTCAGGAACAGCATCAGTGGCCGCCACAGTCATAGAATCACAGAATGGTTTGGGTTGGAAGGGACCTTAAAGCCCATCTGGTTCCCCCACCCCTGCCATGGGCAGGGACACCCTCCACTAGACCAGGTTGCTCAAAGCCTCATCCAGCCTGGCCTTGAACACTTCCAGGGATGGGACATCCACAGCTTCTCTGGGCAACCTGTGCCAGTGCCTCACCACCCTCTCTGGGAAGAACTTCCTCCTGATATCCAATCTAAATCTACCTGCTTTCAGTTTAAACTAATTACCCCTTGTCCTGAAAAAGTCCTCCCCCCAGCTTCCTTGTAG